AGGATGCTCATCCCTGTATCCCTGTGTGGGTACCAATGCAGGATGCTCATCCCTGTATCCCTGTGTGGGTACCAGTGCAGGATGCTCATCCCTGTATCCCTGTGTGGGTGCCAGTGCAGGATGCTCATCCCTGTATCCCTGTATGTGGGTAGCAATGCAGGATGCTCATCCCTGTATCCCTGTGTGGGTACCAATGCAGGATGCTCATCCCTGTATCCCTGTATGTGGGTACCAATGCAGGATGCTCATCCCTGTATCCCTGTATGTGGGTACCAATGCAGGATGCTCATCCCTGTATCCCTGTATGTGGGTACCAATGCAGGATGCTCATCCCTGTATCCCTGTATGTGGGTACCAATGCAGGATGCTCATCCCTGTATCCCTGTGTGGGTACCAATGCAGGATGCTCATCCCTGTATCCCTGTATGTGGGTACCAATGCAGGATGCTCATCCCTGTATCCCTGTATGTGGGTACCAATGCAGGATGCTCATCCCTGTATCCCTGTATGTGGGTACCAATGCAGGATGCTCATCCCTGTATCCCTGTATGTGGGTACCAATGCAGGATGCTCATCCCTGTACCCTGTGTGTGGGTACCAATGCAGGATGCTCATCCCTGTATCCCTGTATGTGGGTACCAATGCAGGATGCTCATCCCTGTATCCCTGTGTGTGGGTACCAATGCAGGATGCTCATCCCTGTATCCCTGTATGTGGGTACCAGTGCAGGATGCTCATCCCTGTATCCCTGTGTGGGTACCAATGCAGGATGCTCACCCCTGTATCCCTGTATGTGGGTACCAATGCAGGATGCTCATCCCTGTATGTGGGTACCAATGCAGGATGCTCACCCCTGTATCCATATGTGGGTACCAATGCAGGATGCTCATCCCTGTATCCCTGTATGTGGGTACCAATGCAGGATGCTCATCCCTGTATCTGTGTATGTGGGTACCAATGCAGGATGCTCACCCCTGTATGTGGGTACCAAGGAGCAGGATGCTCACCCCTGTATCCCTGTATGTGGGTACCAATGCAGGATGCTCACCCCTGTATGTGGGTACCAATGCAGGATGCTCACCCCTGTATCCATATGTGGGTACCAATGCAGGATGCTCATCCCTGTATCCCTGTGTGTGGGTACCAATGCAGGATGCTCACCCCTGCATCCCTGTGTGTGGGTACCAATGCAGGATGCTCATCCCGTATCCCTGTATGTGGGTACCAGTGCAGGATGCTCATCCCTGTATCCCTGTATGTGGGTACCAATGCAGGATGCTCATCCCTGTATCCCTGTGTGGGTACCAATGCAGGATGCTCACCCTGTATCCCTGTATGTGGGTACCAATGCAGGATGCTCATCCCTGTATGTGGGTACCAATGCAGGATGCTCACCCTGTATCCATATGTGGGTACCAATGCAGGATGCTCATCCCTGTATCCCTGTGTGTGGGTACCAATGCAGGATGCTCATCCCTGTATCCCTGTATGTGGGTACCAGTGCAGGATGCTCATCCCTGTATCCCTGTGTGGGTACCAATGCAGGATGCTCACCCCTGTATCCCTGTATGTGGGTACCAATGCAGGATGCTCATCCCTGTATGTGGGTACCAATGCAGGATGCTCACCCCTGTATCCATATGTGGGTACCAATGCAGGATGCTCATCCCTGTATCCCTGTGTGTGGGTACAATGCAGGATGCTCATCCCTGTATCCCTGTGTGTGGGTACCAATGCAGGATGCTCATCCCTGTATCCCTGTATGTGGGTACCAATGCAGGATGCTCACCCCTGCATCCCTGATGCTCATGAGCCCCTCTCCCCCCTCTCCCCCCAGCCCTGCTCAGCCGTTATCCCGCTCAGGACACCTCCTCCTTCCCTCTGCCGGCCTCGGTGCCCATCTTCTGCCTGCCCATGGGGGCCACCATCGAGAGCTGGCCCACGGGCACCCCATACCCGCTGCCCCTCTTCTCCCCCTTCGTCCTCACCGGCGCCTCCGGAGACAAGGCAAGGCCTGGCTTTTGGGCTGGGGATGCTATGGGTCAAGTGGGGTTGAGGTCCGCCCCACTTTCCCTTCCCCGCTGTGACCCCCATCCCGCCCCCCATAGATCTATGGGGCCGCCATCCAGTTCCACGAGGCCTTCCCTGCCGAGCGGCTCTCGGAGCGCCAGAGCCTGCGCCTGGGCCTCGTGAGCGTTGTGGACCGGCGGCCGGTGCCGGGGCGCGCGCCCCACGCCCGCAAGAGCCTCTGCGTGCTGTCCCGCTGGCCCTGCTTCCGCGTCTTCCGCCAGTTCCTGCTCTTCCTCTACCGCTACTCCGTGTCCGGGCCCCACGTCCTGCCCTCGAGACGTCAGTGGCAACGGGATGGGGGCAGCGGGGGCGGTGGGGTGGGGTGGGATGCAGTGGGATGGGATGCAGTGGGATGGGGACGCGATAGGATGGGATGCAGTGGGATGCAGTGGGATGCAGTGGGATGGGGATGCAATGGGTTGGGATGCAGTGGGGTGCAGTGGGATGCAGTGGGATGGGGACGCGATAGGGTGGGATGCAGTGGGATGCAGTGGGGATGCAGTGGGATGCAGTGGGATGGGGATGCAATGGGTTGGGATGCAGTGGGATGCAGTGGGATGGGGACGCGATAGGATGGGATGCAGTGGGATGGGGATGCAATGGGTTGGGATGCAGTGGGATGGGGATGCAATGGGTTGGGATGCAGTGGGGTGCAGTGGGATGCAGTGGGATGGGGACGCGATAGGATGGGATGCAGTGGGATGCAGTGGGATGGGGATGCAATGGGTTGGGATGCAGTGGGGTGCAGTGGGATGCAGTGGGATGGGGACGCGATAGGATGGGATGCAGTGGGATGCAGTGGGATGCAGTGGGATGCAGTGGGATGGGGATGCAATGGGTTGGGATGCAGTGGGATGCAGTGGGATGCAGTGGGATGGGGACACGATAGGATGGGATGCAGTGGGATGGGGATGCAATGGGTTGGGATGCAGTGGGATGGGGATGCAATGGGTTAGGATGCAGTGGGATGCAGTGGGGTGCGGTGGGATGGGGATGCAATGGGTTGGGATGCAGTGGGATGCAGTGGGGTGCAGTGGCATGCAGTGGGATGGGGACGCGATAGGATGGGATGCAGTGGGATGCAGTGGGATGCAGTGGGATGGGGATGCAATGGGTTGGGATGCAGTGGGATGGGGATGCAATGGGTTAGGATGCAGTGGGATGCAGTGGGATGGGGATGCAATGGGTTGGGATGCAGTGGGATGGGGATGCAATGGGTTAGGATGCAGTGGGGTGCAGTGGGATGGGGATACGATGGGATGGGATGCAGTAGGATGTAGTGGGATGCAGTGGGATGCAGTGGGATGGGGACGCAATGGAATACAGTGGGATGGGGATGCAATGGGTTAGGATGCAGTGGGGGTGCGGTGGGGTGCGGTGGGATGGGGATGCAATGGGTTAGGATGCAGTGGGATGCAGTGGGGTGCAGTGGGATGCAGTGGGATGGGGACGCGATAGGATGGGATGCAGTGGGATGCAGTGGGATGCAGTGGGATGGGATGCAATGCGTTGGGATGCAGTGGGATGCAGTGGGATGCAGTGGGATGGGGACGCGATAGGATGGGATGCAGTGGGATGGGGATGCAATGGGTTGGGATGCAGTGGGATGGGGATGCAATGGGTTAGGATGCAGTGGGATGCAGTGGGGGTGCGGTGGGATGGGGATGCAATGGGTTGGGATGCAGTGGGGTGCAGTGGCATGCAGTGGGATGGGGACGCGATAGGATGGGATGCAGTGGGATGCAGTGGGATGCAGTGGGATGGGGATGCAATGGGTTGGGATGCAGTGGGATGGGGATGCAATGGGTTAGGATGCAGTGGGGTGCAGTGGGATGGGGATACGATGGGATGGGATGCAGTAGGATGTAGTGGGATGCAGTGGGATGCAGTGGGATGGGGATGCAATGGAATACAGTGGGATGGGGATGCAATGGGTTGGGATGCAGTGGGATGGGGATGCAATGGGTTAGGATGCAGTGGGGTGCGGTGGGGTGCGGTGGGATGGGGATGCAATGGGTTAGGATGCAGTGGGATGCAGTGGGGTGCAGTGGGATGCAGTGGAATGGGGACGCGATAGGATGGGATGCAGTGGGATGGGGATGCAATGGGTTGGGATGCAGTGGGATGGGGATGCAATGGGTTAGGATGCAGTGGGGTGCAGTGGGGTGCAGTGGGATGGGGATACGATGGGATGGGATGCAGTAGGATGCAGTGGGATGGGGATGCGATGGGTTGGGATGCAGTGGGATGCAATGGGGTGGCATGCAGTGGGATGGGGATGCGATGGGATGGGATGCAGTGGGATGCAATGGGATTCAATGGGATGCAGTGGGGTGGGAGGCAGTGGGATGCAGTGGGATGGGGATGTGGTGGGATGGGATGCGGTGGGATGCAGTGGGATGGGGATGCGATGGGTTGGGATGCAGTGGGATGCAATGGGGTGGGATGCAGTGGGATGCAATGGGGTGGGATGCAGTGGGATGGGATGCAGTGGGATGCAATGGGATGCAGTGAGATGGGGATGTCATGGGTTGGAATGCAATGAGATGCAGTGGGATGGGATGGGATGCAGTGGGATAGGATGGGATGGGATGCAGTGAGATGTAGTGGGGTGCAGTAGGATGCAGTAGGGATGGGACAGGATGCAGTGGGATGCAGTGGGATGGGACAAGATGCAGTGGGATGCAATGGGATGGGGTGGGATGCAGTGCGATGGGATGGGGTGAGATGCAATGGGATGCAGTGTGATGTGATGGGGTGAGATGCAATGGGATGCAGTGTGATGTGATGGGGTGAGATGCAATGGGATGCAGTGTGATGTGATGGGGTGAGATGCAATGGGATGCAGTGTGATGTGATGGGATGCAGTGGGGTGCAGTGGGATGGGGCAGGGGCCGCGGGTTCCCCCCCACACCGATGCTGCCTCCGTCCCCAGGCACATCTCCCACTTCATGCACAACGTCCCCTTCCCGTCGCCGCAGCGCCCGCGCATCCTGGTGCAGGTGAGGGGGAGCCGCCCCATAGCTCTGTGAGCCCCCCATAGCCCTGTGAGCCCCCCATAGCTCTGTGAGCCCCCCATAGCCCTGTGAGCCCCCCATAGCTCTGTGAGCCCCCCATAGCTCTGTGAGCCCCCCATAGCTCTGTGAGCCCCCCATAGCCCTGTGAGCCCCCATAGCTCTGTGAGCCCCCATAGCTCTGTGAGCCCCCCAATAGCCCTGTGAGCCCCCATAGCTCTGTGAGGCCCCCATAGCCCTGTGAGCCCCCCATAGCCCTGTGAGCCCCCCATAGCCCTGTGAGTCCCCCATATGTGTGTGTACCCTTATATCTGTGTGTACCCCATATGTGTTTGTCCCCCTATATATGTGTGTTCCCCTATAGATGTGTCCCCTATATGTGTGTTCCCCCCATATATGTGTGTCCCCCTATAGATGTGTGCCCCCTATATACGTGTGTCCCCCTATATATGTGTGTTTTCCCTATATATGTGTGTGCCCCATGTATGTGTGTGCCCCCATATATGTGTGTCCCCCTATAGATGTGTGCCCCATATATGTGTGTCCCCTATAGATGTATGCCCCCCATATATGTGTCCCCTATATATGTGTGTGCCCCATATATGTGTGTCCCCCCTATATATGTGTGTCCCCCCATAGATGTGTGCCCCCCATATATGTGTCCCCCCATATATGTGTGTGCCCCCTATATATGTGTGTCCCCCCATAGATGTGTGCCCCCCATATATGTGTCCCCCTATATATGTGTGTCCCCCCTATAGATGGTGTGCCCCCTATATATATATGTGTGTGCCCCTATATATGTGTGTGGTGTCCCCATAGATGTGTCCCCCCTATAGATGTGTACCCCCTATAGATGTGTGCCCCCTACATATATGTGTCCCCCCATATATGTGTCTGCCCCATAGATGTGTGTCCCCCCCCACGTGTGTGTCCTGTCTATCTCTATTTGTGTCCCCCCATTTATGCCCCCTTTACCCCCCATATCCCCCCAGATGTCCCCCTATGACAGCGTCCTGCTCTGCCGCCCCGTTGCCTCCCCATTGCCGCTCAGGTAGGGGCCGAAGGGGACCCGGATTTGGGGGGCTGGGACCGGGCCGGATGCGCGCGAGGGATGCTCTGAGCGCCGCATCCCTGCACCGCATCCCTGCCCCACATCCCTGCCCCACATCCCTGCCCCACATCCCTGAACCACGTTCCTGCCCCACGCCTCTGCTCCACGCCTCTGCCCCACATCCCTGCCCCACATCCCTGCCCCACATCCCTGAACCACGTTCCTGCCCCACGCCTCTGCCCCACGCCTCTGCCCCACGCCTCTGCCCCACGCCTCTGCCCCACGCCTCTGCCCCACATCCCTGCCCCACATCCCTGCCCCACATCCCTGAACCACGTTCCTGCCCCACGCCTCTGCCCCACATCCCTGCCCCACACCCCCTGCTCCACGCCTCTGCCCCACGCCTCTGCCCCACATCCCTGCCCCACATCCCTGCCCCATGCCTCTGCCCCACATCCCTGCCCCATGCCTCTGCCCCACATCCCTGCCCCACATCTCTGCCCCACACCTCTGCTCCATGCCTCTGCCCCACCCCTCAGCCCCACGCCTCTGCCCCACCCCTCTGCCCCACACCCCTGCCTCAATCCTGCCCCACCCCTCAGCCCCACTCCTCAGCCCCACTCCTCAGCCCCACACCTCTGCTCCACGCCTCTGCCCCACCCCCTCTGCCCCACATCCCTGCCCCACATCTCTGCCCCACACCTCTGCTCCATGCCTCTGCCCCACTCCTCTGCCCCACTCCTCTGCCCCACACCCCTGCCCAAGCCCCCTGCCCCACCCCTCAGCCCCACTCCTCAGCCCCACACCTCTGCCCCCCAGCGGCGCCAGCTTCCTGAGCCTGCTGCGCGCCGTGGGGCCGGGCACGGCCGTGGCGCTGCTCGTGGCCGTGCTCACGGAGCACAAAGTGCTCCTGCACTCGCTGCGCCCCGATGTGCTCACGGGCGTGGGGGAGGCCCTGGTGGCGGTGAGAGGGGCACGGCCCCATAGGGGAACATGGGGGGAGAGGGGGGAATGGGGGGCACTGGTCCCATAGGGGAACATGGGGGGGAATGGGGCTGGGCAATGGGGGGGCACTGGTCCCATAGGGGACGTGGGGGGGAATGGGGCTGGGGCAATGGGGGGCACTGGTCCCATAGGGGACGTGGGGGGAATGGGGCTGGGCAATGGGGGGCACTGGTCCCATAGGGACGTGGGGGGAATGGGGCTGGGGCAATTGGGGGGCACTGGTCCCATAGGGGAACATGGGGGGAGAGGGGGGAATGGGGGGCACTGGTCCCATAGGGGAACATGGGGGGGAATGGGGCTGGGGCAATGGGGGGCACTGGTCCCATAGGGGAACATGGGGGGGAGAGGGGGGAATGGGGGCACTGGTCCCATAGGGGACATGGGGGGAGAGGGGGGGAATGGGGGGCACTGGTCCCCATAGGGAACATGGGGGAAGAGGGGGGAATGGGGGGCACGGCCCCATAGGGGAACATGGGGGGAGAGGGGGGGGAATGGGGGGCACTGGTCCCATAGGGGAACATGGGGGGAGAGGGGGGGAATGGGGGGCACCGGTCCCATAGGGGAACATGGGGGGGAATGGGGCTGGGGCAATGGGGGGCACTGGTCCCATAGGGGAACATGGGGGGAATGGGGCTGGGGCAATGGGGGGCACTGGTCCCATAGGGGACATGGGGGGAGAGGGGGGGAATGGGGGGCACTGGTCCCATAGGGGAACATGGGGGGGAATGGGGCTGGGGCAGTGGGGGGGGCACTGGTCCCATAGGGGACATGGGGGGAATGGGGCTGGGGAAATGGGGGAAATGGGTTGGCAATGGGTTGGAAATGGGTTGGAAATGGGGGAAATGGGGGATTGGAAATGGGTTGGAAATGGGTTGGAAATGGAGGAAATGGGTTGGAAATGGGTTGGAAATGGGTTGGAAATGGGGGAAATGGGTTGGAAAATGGGTTGGAAATGGGTTGGAAATGGGGGAAATGGGTTGAAATTGGGAAATGGGTGGAAAATGGTTTGGAATTGGGTTGGAAATGGGGGAAATGGGTTGGGAAAGTTGGGAAATGGTTGGAATGGGTTGGAATGGGTTGGAAATGGGTTGGATAACGA